GCTAAAGGCACAATATTGTTTTTGGTTTTGTTTTTTTAATGAAAAGGTTTTTTAAATGGAAATAGTAGGCTCCATCTGAGAAGAGGCATTCTCACTAGGTTACCATGCAAGAGGGAATGCCTCTTCTAATACGGTCCCTGGTGTGGTATGTATACTTATTGCTTTAAAGAAAAATGCCTTGTCTAATCTGTTTTGTCTAATCTATATTTTTGTTCATCAATGTAAAATTATAAATTTAAATAATATGATTAATAAACAAAGATTTATTGGTTTATAGTTTCTGTAGTTTATTATCAGCTGAGGAGGGTAGATCTGTGAATTTTGTGCATGCATATGTGAGTGGTATGTGTGTGAAAAAGGAAGGAGGCACATGTTAGCACAGCCCTGTCCACTTTTGTGCAGTAGCCTTACCCACTGTTGGCACATGGATCCTGCAGTCCTGGCTTTGGGCCAATTCAGCCATCAGACCAAAAATGGTTTTTAAACCTCTGCTTTATAATAATAATATATTTATTATAATGTACTGCATTTAAACTAATATTCTGGTATGAAATAATACATTCTAAATAATTAGAATGTGAAAAAAACCAACTGCCTCCAGATACGTTTGGTTACAACTCCCAGCATCCACCAGTCAGCCTAAAGAGTTGTAGTCAAATTCATCTGAAGGGTGCCAAGGTCAAACCTGCTTGATGTGAGGAAATTATTTATGAATAGCATTATAATTTAATCCACAATGGAATTCAAGTGTATATGTGTGCATATGTTTTTCTTGTTCAGTGCTTACTCAATTTTGGACAATACCAGCTCTTACTATCTCTAAGGAGGAGCTGGAAAAAATGTGAAAACTTGTAAACGTACTTTCATAGGTATTCTACTGACTGCTTTTAAGTGATACTGAGCAGACAAATCAGCAATGAACAAGAATAATTTCTAAATAAGAGTCATGTGCACCCATGTTGACAGGTGTAATTGCTTAAAAAAACTGAGAATGTATGTTTGTTATGTTTAATAGTGCTGTTGCTAAAAAAAAATGCTTATTTACTCACATTTCAGGGCTCTGAAATGTGCTCCTTAAGGACAAAGAAAGGTCACCAGTCTCTCCAACTCCTAGTTCTTTGTCAAAGGTGGACACAGTTAATGAGGTTGGTTTGGTACGGCACAAATTCTCAGACACAGATAGAGATCCTTTCAATGGAAACAAATTTGTTTGGCTTTACCAGGTTACTTAGCGATTAATAATAGCCTTGAGATGCAGGTCAGAAGGGTCAGTGTACCCGCTTGCCAACACAATCTAAAATGCACAGCAAGTCCAGGTCTGCAGGCTCAGAGGCCTCCAAACACTATGCATAAAGTAAAACAGGCTATTTTCCAAGTTCTTTTTTCATATTAATAAGCAATTTTCAAGAGAAGTGTGGCAAAATGGGGGCCATGCCACTCTAAGTAATTCATTTATTTTGCAATTTAATCTTATGTTGGAAAAAAATTACACTGCTGCAAAAGCGTAGCATGGTGATTTTTAAACGTCAGTATGTTTCATAAGTAACCTTGTATGAAATATTGTATTAGAAACCTTTAACAGTAAATGGCAACAAAAAAATTCCAGGGATTGAAACAGAACAATACATCTTCTATCTTTAATTTATTTCTGTTTTGTTCTACTTTTGTTTTGCACATTTGGAAAAAAACTCCACATGTGATTTACTTAACATGTAACTTGCTTTATTAAGAAGAATAAATTAAAATTTGGATATATAGCATGTAGATTTTTGGAACAGAGTTTATATATCCATAATACAATTATTACCACATTACTAAATCCCATTATAGCACTGGAAATATCTAGAATTGAAGTAACTGCAAATGTTTCAGAGTGGACAAACTGTCACATGGTTTTCATGGTCTATGAAAAATTCTAACATGCAATAGAATCCACAAACCCTACACTTCTTGCAAGTTTTACTCTTTGAACCTTTTTCATACGTCTGCCTTTCTCTTTTATTCAGCCTTCTCTCCTTATTCTGTGGATCTCTCAGCATAGTATAGATGGATCAATGAGGCATACACAATAACCCCAAAGATACAAAGCTGGTTTGTCAGGGAAAAGACTAACCTGTAACATGCTACATTTGTATATGTAGAGATTATTGTATGTGTGGTGCATTAAAACTTTCAATCCTTCACCTTCAGTATAAAATGGAGGACTCCAGTTACAGGTAATGGCACATCAGTTTCTGCTCTTCTTCCTCAGTTCAAAGGCACTTTTGTATATCATAATCACAAGGAATGTCTCCTCCCCTATATGCCCTCACACCCCTTAAGATCAGCAGGGGAGTCCTTGCTCCAGGAACCCTCTTTGAAGGAGGTACTGAGGGTTTCCACCTGGAGGAGGGCCTTCTCTCTGGTGGCACCCAGAATATGGAATACACTCCCCAGAGAGGTCCACCTGGTGTGGACTCTCCTTTCTGGTGCCAGGTAAAGACCTTTTTACTTAACCACTATTTTAATAATTAATATAATTAATTTTAATAATATAATTAATTTTATACAGTCACATTTTCATTTCTTCTTTCTTCTTTCTTTGGTTATGGAAAGATATATTGCTGCTTATTTTGTCTTATTGTTGAATGTTTTAATTATATTTATATTATTATATTGTTATTTTTATCTTCTGTAAGCCATTCTGATGCTTTTTGCAAAGGATGGCATAGAAATGTTTTAATTAAATTTAAATTAAATTAAATTAAAATCCTGCACTCCCTGAGTTCGTTGCTAGAGATGTCAGACCTGGCTACAGGGGCACATTTATCCCATGTGCCCTACTGTAATGCATTCTGCATGATACGGCTTTTGAAAGGAGTTTGATCCAGAATGATACTGCCAGGGACTGTTGATCATGGTTAGTTAGAGGGTGCATGTGACCTGACTCTTTTCTTATGACAGTTGCACTGGCTACCAGGCTGTTTCTATGGATGAGTCAAAGTGCTGTTTATGACCTATATATGAGTATATGACTTTGGACTGGGCTATCTGGAAGACCACTTTCTCCCATATCAGCTTGCCTAGGTTTAAACAGGAGAAGGTTTTACTCCTGGTCCACCAGCGTCAGTGGCATGTTTGATGGGCCTTCTCAGCAGCTGCCCTCTGGTACCAGAATTCCTGTCAAGGAATACTATGCTGGCCTCTTCTCTCTTGTCCTTTTCCAGCTGCTCCTTAGGCACATGAAATGTCACACTTGAGAATCATGAGACCTTTGGAGCCATGTGCAACGTGGCATGGTAGGATTAGGATGGACAAAATGTAGTGTTCCTCCTCACCATGTGTGTTTGCTGAATTGCATTATGTTTGTAAATTGCACTTTTTGGATCTCTGCTATAAAGCATTTAGTCTACAAAGCAATACCATTAAAATTAATGTTAGTTTTACTATTAACTTAATGGGATATAGGTTGCACCTGCCGATGTTTAATTGATCTAGAATATGTTGAGGTATTACAAATATTTACCCTACAGGAACTGAATTATTTTAATGCTGTATTTTATGTAAGATGCCCAGAAAAAGGTCAGAACTTACCTAATTAACATTTATTAAAACTACATACATCACTGAACAAAATTTATGTCTTTCACACACAAGGTTAATTTGAATTAGCTGTTCCTTAATACCAATAACAACAAATGTTAATCAAGCTAACTTCTACTGTTATAAGTAGAGGGTGGGCAGGCATGCAATGGACGGATGAGGTTACTGTAATATAGCAATAATACTAATCAACCCTAATCTCTAAAATGCTTTTATTTAAAATTTCAATAATTTGAAATAAGATACAGTAATTTAGTAGAAACAAATTCACTCTTTCTCTGCTGGATACTGAATTAGAGTTTATCTGAGTCAATATTATTTATTACAACTAGAAGAACTTTCCAAGGATTTAGGAAAGGTCTTTGAGGGACCTGCTACTTATGATCTACCAGGTCCTTTTCCAATATACTTGCAACTATGTGCAATTCCTGTTAGGCAAACCTCAGAAGCAATCAAGTCTATCTTCTGCTCCTTTAGAAAGAAGGGGAAAAAGTCATATTTAACAAAACATAATGGGAGGTGGTTCTGCCTGCTGGACATGTCAATAAGCAAAATGCTGAACTTAGAAGAACCTTTGCCCCCCCCCATTTTATTGCTTATTAATATATTATATTTATATCCCATCTTTCTTCCTCTTGCAAGGAATCCAAAGTGGCTTACAAGGTTCTTTTTTTCATTTTATCCTCAGAACAACAACCCTGTCACCTATGGGAGGATGAGAGTCAATGAGCTTCATGGCCTAGCAGGGACTAGAACCCAGATATCCTGAGTCCCAACCCAACACTCTTAACCACTATACCACCAAGACAATTATTGTACACTTATGGATGCCACTATACACACACACACATTTAATAGAAATTTTTTTCTGGGGTGGCTGAAAATAATTTGTCATGTCATGCACAGGTATTCATCAATACTGCATGTTTCTTGCATGTTCCAGTACTACAACGAACACTTTATTTCTTTATCTTGAGGTCCTGCTTCAAAATTAAAATATTAAAATGAAGTAAATAAAATGAATTAAAATTCATATTTCTGAATTAATGAAACTAAAATCTGTAATATATATCCAATTTTGAAGCTAAAATTATGTTTAAATCTAGACACATGTATATCCAATCCATCATTTGAAACTTTAAACATCCATTCACTAAACAACAAACCTCATGTGCAGCTGAATCACACAGAAAGGTTATAGCACGTTATAGCATATTGGTAGAATGTGGCTTTAATGCTTTTGTTCTAAATGAACTGCTTTGTTAAATGTGCTAAGCAGATACTGATGATGATTTCACTGAACAGTAGAGAATGCTAGCAGATCATCACTTCGGAAATGAAGACTAACAAAGAGCTTTCAAGGCATTTAGCATATTTTTCATACTGGCTTTGTAATCAGCTAACTTGTTTTGATGCAGGAGAGAACTAGAAGAGTTTGCAGAGATGAAGGAGAAAGAAGAGGTGAAAAAAGCCCTCGAAAGGAAAGAAAAGAAAAAGGATTACCTAGCCCGAAAGATGCATTACCTCCTTAGCACTGAGCAGGTTGGTGTACCTGTCCCTGACAGCTCATGCAAACCACTGGGGCCCCTAGCTTGACAGAGATAAACTAGCAGGCTGAATGGGACATGACTTGTTGAAAAGATATCACAAAGACACTACTTCGAGTTCAATTTAGTGCTTTTCTATAGGCGAGAGCAGGTACCATGACTGCCGTGTGACAGCAGCTTCATAGAGGCAGCATCAGCACGGCTAGCAGAAAGAGTCCAAGTCAGCAGTTTGATCTGCCACTGTGATAACACAACACGAAGGGCATAACCTCACTTTAAAAACTCATTTTGACTGGCTTATTGTTGTGTTGTCTCACTTGTCAAGAACTAACAAGTTATTAAGCCAAGGAGGCATTCCATTTTTTCCATTTTAATTGAGTTAATGTTTGGATCAGAATTACATTCCTCTGTTATGTTTTGAAATACATTGTAAGTGTGAGTTATCTTATAAAACTTTGTAGAGAGATCTTCCTGGGTCAGCAAATTTACCTTGATTGCTTTCTTACAGCCATCACTCTTGAATATATTCTGACTGATCTATTTACTCTTCTCAGAATATTTGTTTGAATTCTGAAAAGCTGTTTGGTATGAAAGGTATTCCCCCTTTTAATCCCTACATATGAACATCATGGCAAATTTGTGTTTGCCTGGAATGTGTGCACTTATGTGAGCATTCATATAAGAAATGCAAGCACAATTGTTGCAGTTTTAGATGCATTTTATTGATTCTTAGAGTTACAATTAGCCACTTGCTCATTTCTGCTTAACATGGTCCATTCAGTCAGGAATCAAAGACAATGCCATGTGATTTTATGACAGGAAATTTAGTACCTTTTACTTTCACATCACTCATGAATAAGCTGTGTTCGAGTTTGTTTACCCAAGCTGCATGGCAATTAATTAAGGAAAAGTGAACTGATTAGTTGAAATTAGTTATTTTAATTGTAAATTTAGTGAAATCAAGGTTTGTTTGTGAAGAAACAGAAGAAAAGACTAATTAGTACATGAATATTATTTAGAATGAATTATTCATATACTCCCAGAAAGAATATATTGAGAATAATCTCTCTGAGAAAAGAGTTCTCATTGTTTTAAAACTTTAACTACAATATATAGTTGCTTACAAATATTATAAAGAGTATATAAAATTAGTTAGGATTAATATGTAGATATTTAGGAATAAGTTGGAAATTAAAATTCTCTTGTGTTCATGATTTCAGAGAAAAATGAAAACTATTAAATAAACTTGTTAGCAAATTACTTTGGTACTACACATGTAATTCTTGTCTGAAAAGTAATGTAAAACTCATGTTGAAGTTGGAAATACAATGACTTAATCCTGAACCTTAAAAGAACTGCAGTGTAGCCTGCATCCATTGTCATGTGATACATCTGTATTGCAATTGATGTTAACTTTTTTATTTTTGCAGACATTGAAATATGCATTAATGCTGTGTCCCTATATGATACCTTCTCAAGTTGCTTAATACTATTATAAATTTAGGATGGAAAGAAGTTAAAAATAGAATTGGGGTTGTATTTTGATTAAAACTCAGGTTGCTAGTAGATGATGCCTGGAGAAATAAATTACAAGCTCTAAAACTTTATCCTTATGAAATATTGAGCTCTTAATTAAAGTTCTTCGTTTATCAGTGGTTTCAATAACTAGTCAAGTAACACCTAACACATATAAGCCTTCTTTTGTTTGAAGAAAGTTCTTTCTTTATGATCCCTATAATTATGAAGAAACCTGCTGTAAAATCTACAGCACTGTTTTGAAGTCATAAATTATGTTTTCTGCTCCACCTACTGGTTGCCTTGTGCAAGAGATCTTACTGTGAAGTGCAGCTAGGAAATGCATCTCTATAGTGCAAGTTCTGTGATGTCCATGTCTTTTCTGTTAAGAACAAGATTTGAAAAGGAGCATTCTGAATTTGCTTAATCACTAAATCAACCTGCTTTTCAGCAATAGAAAAGGAACCCTACTTTTATTAACTCTATATTGTGTCTGCATTTTCTTGCATTGTTCCTCTCTATTTTTGTAATGCCCACATAAAGATTAAAAAAACACATTTTTACAAAGTCCAATTGACATCATTTTAGCTTTTAAGACTTTTTGTCTTTTATATATTAAGAAGAGAAAATAGGCAAATATTGTTACCATGTAAATGTAGGAAGCACACTTGCCAATGATTAAGAGAATTTCTTTTATTCATACTCAGCTGTTTAAATATGAACATAAGCCATAAATCCTTTTACATCATTTTTCATATATCTTGTTGTTCATCAAACCTTGGTGAGCTGAAAGGGGAAGAAGCTGAAAGAGTGAATGCTGAACAAATTGTAATAAACATTGTTCATGTAGTTTGTCAGATTTTAAAGGTTCAAGCAACAAAAACTATCTGTTCTCTTTCTGTAACTTTATTACACCACCATGGCTACTAGCAAGCTTGTACTCATACAAGTGACTTGCCTAGGTTTCCTCGTAAAGGCTTTGTCCTAATCTTGATTTTTCTGCTTTATTCCTAGCTATGAAAATATCATTTTTATGCCCCTGCTGATCTAAATTTCATCAGCAGTCTAGCTAAAAGTAAAATAGTATCCTTAAAAGCAGCACAGGGATTAGAAAATTAAAATTAAAGCTATGATGTCATAGTAAATATCTTCTCTTGCAGATTGGAATGCTTGCATGAGTGCTGCCTCTAGTGTTTTAGTTGATAAAGTTTTATATTACATTTCGAATATTATTAATTTACATGCATTTATTTCTATTTTAGCTGAATATGTAATGCCTCTGGCTTATAGTACAGATTCAAAAGGTGATAAGTATGTTGTGTTTGTGTTGGCTGTTACGGGTTTTCAGAATCTGGAAACAAAGATGTTGTACTCACACAGTTTTCTGGTTCTTACACAACTCAATAAAAATAATAATGGCATTGTCCTTGAAATGCAACTTGGTGGGCTAGTTTTATGGTTTAAAGGAAAAGCTAACATCAAGCTAGTTTCTAAGTTAGCTGTAAACTTTAAGAAATAATAGATTTCCTCAGAAGAAACAAAAAATATTTTGCTTGCAGGATCAGAGAGAAAATGGCTACAAGTAATTTTTGATCTAGCTTTATCTCTGCATCTTGTGCCCAACTAGTTAATACTAAACTATAGCCAAATAAAATAAAGTAACGCAATTTAGTTTTCTTATGCAGAAAATACGCTTCGTTTGTTTTATGTCTATTTTGATTTTTATATAGTGCCCCATAGACTCTGGCACTTTTCAAGAGAGTAGAATGTGCAATAATTAAAATAATATATAGCCCAACTTTAAAATACATAAAGCAAGTCTACTTGTGAGAAAATCTTTAAAAACATAATACTGTATAATAAATTACCAAAATTCCTGGTCTATGTTAAAAGTAGCAAGATTTTTCTTTGACAAGAACAGTGGTATAGAAATGAATTAAATAATAACAATAACAGTAGCAACAACTTTTCAAGAGATGCTTGCTGATTTGGTAATGAGAAAATAAAACAAAAGGTCCCAAAGCAAAGAGTTCTAATGAAGGAACAAAGTTACTATTACCATATTAGAATAAACAAACACTGACAAATTAGTTATCAAACAACTGGGAATATACCTTCCAGGAAACAGTACAAAGCTTTGTCTGGCTGATCTCTTCAATGATGCTAAACAGAAGAGAATGTCTGCAAGAGAAAGTAACTAATGTACCTCTTAAATTTTTCAGCAAGGCCATAGGTTCTTCTTTTCCTGCATTTTTCACATGCAGTAATGGTAAAACGTAATCACCCACAATCATGTGAACAGGGCAAGTTTATAGTTCCTTAACTTGAAACCATCAACCACCTACAATCAGGAACCAAACTTTTCACAGTATGGACCAATGTGATTGGCCCTGCCTAGGTGGTTATGGACCTTTAAAATATTAGAACAGTGCTGTAGGTTAAACCCACAGAAAACTGGTCCTTACACTATGGATACTGTGGAGAGAAGGATATATAATTCAGAGGTAGAAAAAAATTGTGTGCTTTATCTAAAATAAAGGCAGTAGTCTGAGCAAATGCAATGCTGCAGCTTCCTAAATTCCTAAATCTTTAATTCAGATTTTTACATTCATACACTTGGAAGTAACATCCATATAAGTTAGCTTAGAATAATATAAAATGAGTTTCCTTTAAAATATAATGCCAATGGGAAAGTTATTAAATGTTATGTTAAATCCTCCCTGAAGCTGAACAAGGTGGAATCAGTTACTTAGGTGCAAACCACCGAGCACAGTAGTATAGGGTGAATATATGAAGTTCAAGTGCAGGAAGGTTGAGTGGCCAAAATGAAAATTCTTTAGCTATAATGCTGGTTCTTAGTTGCACTGTTGTAGTCTTGGATAATCAAGACATCACTAATGTATATTCTGCAGATTATAGTTAGCATTTCCTACTTCTTATTGAAGAAATAATGTTAGAAGAGATTGTTTTCATATGACCTGGAAAATATTTTGATGTAGGAAATCAAACACTTTTCCCACATGCAATCCAGTTCAGCCAAACTACTTAAATTTTACACTCTTGGTTCCTCACTTATCTAAGCAAACTTACTTGGGATTTACTTCCAAGTGCATGGATTTAGGAATCTGAATTTTGAATTTAAGTACCTATACCACTGGAAGTCATTCAGACTATTGCCATTTGTTTAAGATCAAGTGGGCAATTGTTTTTTTTAACTGCTGAATGATATTTAAAAATGCTGTAGTGAACTATAAACATTTTCTGTGAGGCTAATCTAATAAATAATAGAAAGATGGCTGGTTGTGCTATTGTAAAAATGTATACATGTTTAATTGCAATTAAAAGAAACATGTATTATTTTTAGCAAAGAAATTGATTCTATGAAATTATTTACTGTATCCTTCTATTCATCATCAATGAATTACTGTGTCATTTCTGGAATAAAACACAACTGAACAGATTATTCTTCTTAGACTCCCT